CGGCCGGCCCTCTTTTCTCACCTACGACAATGTTCCCGGTTGCATTGTTATCCACCCTTGCCAAAATCAAATGCTCCCTGGCTCTCTCTCTCTCTCCCCTCTCTTTTTCTCTGCCCGGCTTCTCTGTATGTTCCCTCGCTTTTCAACCCCATTTTTTTTCCACCCTTTTCAAACGCAATCACCGTGATTTCCATTTAGCCGTTCGCTTCAGCTCTTCCCGTTCGAGGCCACTAATGACTTCTGCGGTAATGGTGGCTGGCTGCTGCAACTCCATTCAAAACTGTGCCGTGAATTGAGTGGCCTCTCAAACCGTTCTTTTCTCGCTTTCCTGCTTCCTGCGTGACACAAGCCACGCCGTTTCGACGACACCGACCGACTGATCCCTTTGTATTTTGTCAAGCTGTTGTTAATCGACCCGTTGCTGGAACGATGAAAAAACCGTGCCTCGTTAAGTAATTGAAACCTAATCGCTCGACGCGATTCGACGATAAACGATGGTCATAGCGGCACGTCGACGTCCTAACTTACAGATATGTCCCTGCGCTCGAACCGTGATAAGATAGCGGTGTTGTGTTAATCATCTCGTAGACGTAATAAATACGCGTGAGTAATCTGGCACTCGTCGTTTAACCGGATAATCCTGCGCTCTTCACGATGCTTAACCCTTTTAGAACAAAGCTCCGCATTACGTACGCATGACATATTTTTCGTTCGCCTCTTTCGCTGCCGTTCAACCCACATTGCCGCCAACATAACACTCGATATCGTAATGCATACTCAACCTTATCACTACTCATAACTTTTCGTAATCATAACTTTTTTCAAAATTATCTTCAAAGTGAAATTAGTTTAAATCGAACAATTCTTAACACTTTGATACACGATTTTTTTTTGGTACATGATATTCTACTATCGAGTTCATTCATGCAGTCCATCGATTTTTGCGATACCTGTTTTATATAAAATATACTTTGTTGCTGTTCGAACACTAACAAAAATGAACAAATCTGACTCTACATACGAATTGACACAAATTGGGTTTTTTTGGACAGTTTCGCATTCTTTTATCCCGGCCGAAAATTGTGCCGCTGCATTGCGTATCGTCACTCGTTCGATTTATGACCAGAGATTGTATTGAAGTCACTGAAATTGTTTCAATTCCGATCCATTTGTGACGTACGTTTGGAAGATTTAATTGAGCGACAGAGGAAATGGTTTTTCAAGTTTATTGGACCTTAAACTGCGGGAAGATATGTGACGTTGGAAATATTTCGAGTGTCACGGATTTTTTTCATCCATTGTTTTACCCATGAACCGATCACCCCGTATTAACCCTTTCAAACGATGGACTATTTTGATCCCAAATTGAAAACGTATTATAAAATTTTTCGATATGTCAGTGCACATTGCGCAATAATTTGAAATTCTTTGTATTAATCTGTAGAAAATAATCTGTAAATTAATCTGTAGAAAATAATCTGTAAATTAATCTGTATATCTGTTACATAAGCACTTTGTATCCTTTAATTAAGAAAAAAAAGTCAGCTGTTAACGCAACGCTTAAGCATAAATTAACGATAAAAACTAACGATTCACGGCGAGATAAAGCGATTTTGTATTCTTAATCGGCTCGACAAATTTATTTCTACTTTTCACGCGAGAAATGACCCCAGTTGCTCTCGAATATATCACGGTTACTTTGCACAATACTCCGCCGCGAAGATTCCCTTGTTTTTGCGTCTTTTCCTTACAAAGGTTGGGAAAAAGGGGCCCCCGTTGAAAGGTTCGCGCATGAAATAATCACGAAACGTAACCGTGGCCTTGGTTGATGCTCGAGCTGCTTCCGGAAGAGGTTAATACCCGAAACGCATCGTTGCCTCGAGAGGGCTAGAGCGTGTCGTGAATGGTTCAAGTTTCTACGCTCTCGCGGAGCCAACAACCTGTCCAGACAATGCCTATTTATTTACCAGATCGTTGTCTTCGTTAAAGGTCCGGGGAGATCATTTTTATGGTCAAAGTTAATGATAGCACGAAGGAAAAAAGTCGTAGGTGGTCTCCTCTCCCTTCGGTAACGAGCCCCACAGTAATTGCCTATCCGAAGGTAAACGTACCTCTTACTCGACGAATTAAGCGTCGACAGCCAATTTATTTGCGACTCGGTCTAACAATTAACGCTTTCGTGTGTCCGAATGCTTCTTTAGAAAACGGGATCGTTGATGTATGATGGCTGCAAGAATAACTGAATATGTATCCACTCTGTTCACCAAATTGGTGAATCCACTCTAAATGGACCTGTATCGCAAATGTTGTTTTGGATGAATTTTTACTATTAAGCTCTCTTTCTTTCTTCAGTTGTGATATTATACGAACTTGACGATGATAGGACTTTTATTAAAAAATAAATAGTTGAGATTTCCTGAACTTGTAAGTCCTGGTAGGTTCATGAACTTGACAAACGTGGAGCTTTGTAAATCCGAGACTATCAGTGACAAAGTACTAATAGCATCAAAAAGACGACAAAATAACTTCGGGTATTCCCGTGTTCTTTTTATCGGAGCTTTAGAAAAGTTATCGAGACAACAAGCACCGTGGCTAGACTCAAGAGCAAAAGAAGCCAACAAAGAGAAAGACAGAGCAGACTTGGCCCTCTCTCGTTTGATGCTTGTCCCGCCACGGTCAAACCGTACCACGTTTGTCGGTCAATTAGAGTCCAGAACAAGTACCGGTGTAACATAGAGGCGAACGGTTGTCGGTGAACGTCCGCAGGGGGTCGACGACCCAAGCCAAGCCAGGCCAGGCCTTAGTCGTCAACTTTAATGCTGCTTTTACACCGTTGTACGAACCTCTACTCTCTACCTTTTCTTTCTCGCGTACTTCGATCGTCGAACCTGGCCCAGCTGAATTTTCCAGGTATATAAAACGTTGCTAGGCTAGAGGTATATTCGTCATTGTTCGCTGTCATCGAAGATGAATTCAACGACATACCGAACCTGTCGCGCTCTATTTCGACGTTTTAATCTTTGTCCCGGTGATTGGAATTTTGCCCGATTCTCTAGCTGAACGATCAAACATTGTTTAATAAATTAAGCCTGCGGCTGACGTTATTTGTAACGGTTAGCGCGCTTGTATTTTGTCGAAAATTTCAGAAACAATGCTTGGTCAACGTTGCAAAACGGAGTTTTAAAATATTATAATAGTGTTGCATGAAGTACAATAGAACATTTGATGGACTAAAGTAGATACCGAGGTGCTAGAAGGTACTCTGTGTGTTGCCAAGTATTCTTATTTCGAAATTTATTAGTACGAATATTTGGAAATTGACAAATGCGTGGGTGTATTTTTCTTTGCAATAAGTACAAGGACTAATACAATGCTCCTCGTATTAATCCCACTAAACCGAGGTTCTCCATAATTACCGTAATGAAAGAACAAATCTCGATAACACCGTAATCTCTGAAATTCCCATGTCGAAATTCTTTCGTATGATAATTAAAATGCCTGCAAGGAGTAGAAATTACAGTCCTTCGAACCACACCTCTCGTTCAGACTCGAAGACCCACACGCATCCCAACAGAAAACAACTCGTAAATTAAACGTTCCTGTTTCTGTTGCAGCAACTGTTTCGTAGTCAGCCACAAGGAGCCACGCCACAGCAACTGCAACTGTTACAACAGCAGCAGCAACAACAGCAGCAACAGTACTTGGCGGCGTCGCAGGCCCAACAACAACAGCAGCAGCAGCAACAGCAGAACTTTCCCACGGCACCTTATACCGTGATCAGCGGCCAAGAACCGTACGTCGGTGCACTGATAGCTGGAGCACCACCTCCAGTGGTGCCACAGTATTATGGAGTCGCGCCATGGGTTTATCCAGCTGGATTGCTGCCGCAAGCACCTCCTCAGGCTGCGGCTCCGCCACCACCCAGGCGACCACTGACACCATCCTCGGCCGCAGCGGCAGCAGCCGCCGCCCAAGACACTGCAAATAATTTGGCACAGACAGTAAGCAGCTAATTAGTCTGTTTCTCGAATCAGCACAGGAGACGTTGTTTCGGGCGCACGTGTTTGGAAATAAATCCTATTGTCAGGAGACGGTTTTAGCTAACGAGAAATGGGCTAGCAATCGCATCGCTTAGAATATGCGCCATTGGCACGATCGAGACTAAAACTTTGTCTGAATATCTAACTACTCAACGATGCGGCAATTCCACTTTCTTGAAGCTTTGTATAATTATAAATTTTATCCTGAATATGCACCAGTATTTACTGGCGCATGAATGGTATCAAATGATAGCGCTTTAGAAATAGTATTTTGGAAATATTGGCAGTTAGTTTTATTGTGTCTTCAAAAAAGATCTTGAATATGCACCAGTATTTACTGGTGCAGTATCAAATGGTACCACTCTAGAAATAGAAGTTTGAAAATATTGTTAAAGTTTTATTGTGCCTTCAGAAAAAGGTCCTTCATAAGTGCAGCCCTTGGAACCTTTAAACCCTCGTTACATTGTCGCGTTTGCTCGGAAAGAATTGAATGACTTTCGCCGTTTCACGTGTTAGGAATAGCTTATTTTTAAGGGTCGGATCCAATTAACCGACACTGTTTTCCTTTTGTACGATTTATGGCAGGGATTTATCCTACGTGTGACTCGAGAGGGTGCTTATAAGAATGGGCAATCCAGACGTCCAACGATGGCTGGTGACTCGCAGTCACGTAGCTATCGAGTGTTATAGGATTGATTGTTTGGAAAAAGCCAGGGAATGTTTGGAAATGGTAAAGCAATCCGTCGTTTCATTGCTTGAAAGAATAGGGACACTTTTCCTTGAGGACCACCGGGTGGGGAAGGCGAGGGTGCCTTCTGAGAGGGCTGTGATTGACTATTCGACACTTAACCCAGAACCATCCGAGGGTAAACATCGAGCGTTTAATTTTTAACGAGCATTCGGACTGCGTTACAATCCTTACAAAATTATTGTATAATTGTTACATAATTGTTACATAATTGGTACATAATTGGTACATAATTGGTACATAATTGGTACAAAATGGTGAGGTCATTCGTTGCACTTATGAAACTTTTTCGAAGTCATAGAAAATATAATTGTCAAATTTTCAAATCTGATTGACTATAAAACTTAGAGCTCCTATAAAAAAATTACGTTAATAATTTTTATATGTACTTCTCTAAAGAAAGAGTGGGTCAATGAGCATAACAGTCGAGGCCCACATAAAATCAATCAATCTAAAGAAAGATTATTTAGAAAAATGAAATTATATAAAATGGTTGTTTTAAAAAATGAAATTATATAAAATGATTGTTTTAAAAAATGAAATTATTGCAGGTTCAAGGCCAATACCAGGTGATACCAGCGTATTATGATCAAAACGGTTCCATATTGATGGGAGGGGTCCGTGGCTTAAGCTCGGCAGCAGCCCCCATGAGATTAGTCAGTCCAGCACCAGTTTTGGTAAATAGAGCTCCGTCACAACCACCACCAGGGCCACCGGCTCCACCACCACCGAGTCTTTATTCACAACCGACACCGACGTCGCACAGTAATGCAACACCTGGAGAATGTTTGGGTAAGATTCAATTAGAATCTGTAATCGTGTATTCAGACATGCCTGTCGTCATTGTAGATACTTGTTATTTATTTTCACTGATAAAACATGTATACATGTCTATAAATACGGCTGAACATTTGTTGAATGACACGTCTTGAATTATGTGTAAAAGCTGACTTTAGAATAAGCTTTATTTGAGAGAGACGAAGTTGGTAATATTTTATTGTAGAGTTTCCATACTTTTAGATTTCTGTCTCCATAAAGTATAGAAATTTTTGTCTGTGTCAGACTTTGATTTCCATAATAGATTTTGATTTACATAATAGACTTTGATTTTGAATAATTGAATGCACTGTAAAATGTAAAGAATGTGGAACATCTCGTTTCATTATTTTTGTAACAGTGTACACAGGTGCACGAAAGTATTCGAACAGCTAACAAAGATTTTGATTTAATTTTAAGTATGAAATGCGCGAAGTATGAGTCTGTATATTTAATGTAAAAAGAATTTGTTACTTTTGTCAAGTGATAGTGCATGTGATTTCAATCATATATATTTTGTAAAAATGTGTATAACAAACAACATGTGTCTTAATACTGGCTATTAAAAATCCTCTAACGTTTGTACATTACAAAATAACCAATTTTCAAACAGTAATTATCAGCTAATACGGTAAATAGAAATTCATACCACAAAAGCTTAATAATCATCAAAGTGTTAATCATGAACATACCGCTGTTCAAATACTCTCTTCATCCTCCTGTGTACGTCCATACGATACATGCATGGCACATACAAATATCGACAAAACTTTCAAAACTGGCCATAATTAACGCCGTGAAATAACTCGTCTGTATATACCCTGTGTATATTTTACATACCGTGTATTAACCTCTGGTAACTAAATATAAAGTCAAACCCAATAACGAAATCGATCTGTCGATAAAGAACAAAAACGTGTACTGTGCAGAGATGAAAAGTTGGTTAATGGAAGGAGTGGGAGTGCACTCTATAGTTAATGCTATTCACGGAACGCTGTAGACAATCAACGTTAAATATCCAATCTAACAATATCGCGTGCTCCATGATCGCTGCTACTGATAATCGGCCCTTGCAAAAGTTACTAATTATCAATCCTCTCTATAGCTACCAGTAATCAATCCTTTCAACAGCGAAATCAGTACTCAACTTTATCAACGGTCCATTCTACCACTAATCAACCCTATCTCAATACCAGTAGCGAACGCTACAACTTCACTGATAGCTGCTATGAACATTGAATTATTTGATGGTTTGATTTGTTTGAGAATTATCCATCGTGAAAGATTTAAGTATCGATCAAACTGAACACGCTCGACTTTCGGGAGCATCAAAGATGAAATCGAGTGATCAAAGAACCTAGTCAACTTTTCACCTCGTACAGTACTACGTGTTGCGTGTTGTGTATGTGTTATTTGTGGAACACGTGATTGTTACTACAGCTTTTATAGACGGTGTAAGGTTGGTAATGTACGGCTAATTAATTGAATAACTAAGAGCGTGTGTGGGTCGCGGGCTTTTGTGGTGCAGGTCTGGCGGCGTGCAGTGCTGCAGCAGTGGTAGCTGCACAAGCTCAAGCGGTCGCGGTGCAGCAGGCTCAGCAACAAGGATCAGGACTAGCCGCGGGTTTAGCGGCACTAGGATACGGAGGCTCTCCTCTGGGAGCACTGGGCTCGCCTGCTCAGCTTCAGAGCACAGGTACACTTTCCTAGCCAACGAACAGAGAATCTTTCAGACGATTCTCTCTTTCTGTCTATCCTCTTTTCAATTATTTCAGGCGTTGGCGGTGTCCTCGATTCTTTTGTACATAACGACTGAGAATATATTTATATATACATATTTTGCATGCTTTGTGAGCGTATCGTTTGTCATTTTACTCACCATATGTTGAATGTATTATCCTTTCTAGCTTTATCTTGAAATCAGATTGGTGGTAGAACGGACGTTCTTCAATTCCGTGTTTTCTGTTCACAGGTCTGGGTCTTGGAGCTTCGTCGACCGCCCGAAGAGACTCGTTCGATAGAAACACTTCTGCTTTCAGTCCTAGCTTGGAATATAGCAGGGCCAAGTGGCCTCAGAGTTATGGAGCTCTTGGTAGGAATCTTCAAATTATTACGTTGTTCTGATTCCGTGTACACTGTTTACTATTGTACAGTCACGATAAGACTTTGCGTTACGTAAGCTCTCGGTTTAGTTTAGTTCATCGACTTCAACCTAGGTCATAATTTTAGAGCATTCGGAGAATATACTCCTAGGAATACAATTGACCTGTCACGGTGCTATCCTACTTTACAAACGACAAGCTTTACCGACGTAAACTAGGTCTAAGGAGCACAAAAGTGCGTTTGACAAGTGACAGAATCCTCCCCCGACAGTTCCATTTACCAAGGGTTCGCACATGAACATATATCAGTGTTCCCAAGTTCTATTCCTCTAAAGTACTATAGACTTTTGAACCTGTAACTTAGAAAGTCAGTCCGTAATATCCTTAATAGTTCATATATCCTACTAAGTACATATCCTAAGTATATATCCTACTAACTTTGTTCAATTCCTTTCAAGAATCCTCAAAATGAAACGCTACTTGGTAAACAGTGTCTTGCATTAAGTATACTTATCTACAGTTGTATTATCTCGTTTACAGGTACGGTAACGGCATCACCGAGCCCATTAGGATTATCCTTAACACCACCTCCAGCTCTGGGAGGGTCTTTAGGCGGACTGGTCGGCGGAGCTAGTCGTGTATCTGCAGCTCCTGGCGCTGAAGCTAAGTTCCGTGCCAGTGCAGTTCCAGCTTTAACTGCTAATGGAGTTTTCGGCTCTAGTAGTTCCCTCTTCCCTAACCTAGTGGGCAAACCTGGACGCGGCGGTACCACTAGCATCGGCGACAAAAATGCTGGAGGACGATCGCGTTTGTTGGAAGATTTCAGAAATAACCGGTACGTGGTTTTTCACGAGTTACGATTTAAAAATCTCGGATCGAATTATGAGTTTATCACCTGTTTCAGATTCCCGAGTCTTCAGCTGCGTGATTTAACCAATCACATAGTCGAATTCAGCCAAGATCAGCATGGTTCTCGCTTCATTCAGCAGAAATTAGAACGTGCCTCAGCCAGCGAGAAGCAACTCGTGTTTCAAGAGATTCTCACCTCTGCCTACTCATTGATGACCGACGTCTTTGGGAATTATGTTATTCAAAAGTTCTTCGAATTCGGTACACCGGAACAGAAATCTACTCTGGCTCAAAAAGTAATTATGGATATTTGTTTCTATTGATAGATGCTACAGACATGAGCATGACTTGCGGATTTTGGGAATGTTGCCAAGACATTTTTATCTTTTTGATCGATTAACGAAGCTGTATTTGGGTTAAAGCGTCATAAATTGAAGCTTGCCAATATTAATATACAAATTATGAGAGTAACTAAAATGATGATCTATTTGCGTGTCAGCTGATTCTGTCCGCTGTGATCGAAAATAATATTCTACCTGAATCAGTAGCTTCTTAACACTTCGCTAGGTACCGTAGATTTTGATACATTATCAAACGTTGTATTAGGTCCGAGGACACGTACTGCCCTTGGCGCTGCAGATGTACGGCTGTAGAGTGATTCAGAAGGCTCTTGAATCGATCGGACCGGAACAGCAGCAGGAGATAGTTCGGGAATTGGATGGACACGTTCTGAAATGTGTTAAAGATCAGAATGGAAATCACGTCGTACAGAAATGCATCGAGTGCGTTGAACCGCGAGCATTGCAGTTTGTGATTGGAGCATTCGCTGGTCAAGTCTATTCGTTGAGCACTCATCCCTACGGCTGTAGAGTAATCCAACGTATTCTTGAACATTGCACTCCTGAACAAACTCAAGGCATCCTTCAAGAGCTACACGCTGCCACTGATCAACTCATTCAAGATCAATATGGCAATTATGTTATCCAGCACGTACTTGGTGAGTGATCAAGAACCTATTACTTTAACTCCTTCCTGTTTCATTTTTAAACAACTGTTTCTGTTTGTTTTAAAGAACATGGAAAACCAGAAGACAAGACACAGTTAATCAGCAGTGTTAGGGGTAAAGTACTTACTCTTTCTCAACACAAATTCGCGAGTAACGTCGTTGAAAAATGCGTTACTCATGCTACGAGACAAGAACGCGCTGTACTCATTGAGGAAGTTTGCGGCTTTAACGATAAGTAAGTGTTACCGTTTCATATATACTCTTCACAATTTAATAAACCAAATGTATTTAGAAATAGCGATGTTTAAACTGTTAATAGTAGAAGGCTTTCAACTATAAGCATACATTTTCACGTCTGATTCAGTTAAAGTATGTTCTATGTTAAATAAAATCTATGAAAATTTGTATAACATTTTCTTTGTATTTACGAAATAGCGCACTAAACGTCATGATGAAGGATCAGTATGCCAATTACGTGGTGCAGAAGATGATAGATGTGGCAGAACCAGCTCAACGCAAAGTATTGATGCACAAGATCCGCCCACACTTAGGTAGCTTGCGCAAGTACACCTACGGCAAGCACATCATTGTCAAGCTGGAGAAGTTCTTCATGAAAACTGCGTCTGCGATGGGAGTGACAACGCCTGCCGGTGCTTCGAGTGGTGGAGGTGATCTGGGTCCAATTGGGCCACCTGCTTCTGCTGCTGGTCCCGTTTCTACGCCAGCTCAGCAGCCAACGCAGGTTCTGTAAAATGCGTACGATCATCGTGGAATATAACATCTCCGAAGATTGTCGTACGTTTTAAAAAAAAAGCGAAAAAATCAAGCAAACACGTATCAAGACCTACGTAATATTTATTGCAACGTATCTATCGCCATTAATTTAATAGACGAAGAGGAAAAAAGAGGATGCATTTTTAGCGTGCCGTCTGTATCTCGTTGTCCCTTCTTGAACTCGTGAAAACGTAAGGAAGAAAGTAAACGAAATTTCAAAACAAAAGGACAAGAAACACTTTTTCTTATTTTTGCAAAATGGTAAACAAAAGGAAACGCAAGGATTTGTATAATAAACATGACAAGAACAGGGACAACGCGAAATCACGGTGTGAAGAGAGCAAAAATATTTCAAGGTCAAATGTGTGTCGGAAAAAATCGATTTTTGTAGAAAATAACGTTAGAGGTGCAGTGGCATTTTTTTCTATTAGTAATCATCTAACGTGCTGCCGAGTTAATATACTATTGATAGTGATTTGCATTGAAAATAACTCAAAAAATGTTGCACCAAGATATAAAACACTTCGGAGAACCAACGTTCCCTCGTAAACGTGGGAACGAGCTTTTTAAGCAGTCGTAAAAGAAACTGCAGTGCTGAGATGGCTGATTGTCTTTTAACATCATTCGTTTGATCGATAATTAGTTTTTGGCCGCATTTTCAGCACTCGCCACCAAAGTGATCTTTTGCAGTTTTAATCCTTGCAAATCCTTGATTTATGTAATATTCTGTACTTATGAATTTAATTGATAGAGATGTATGGACCGAATATGAAGAAATTTTCGTTACATATGATTTGTCATATACTCCAGGATAATTATGAAACAAGACTTTAATACAAAATGATACTTCAAGTATCGAGGTACCAAAATCGTTAATAGTCAGACTATACTAAATATACGGAATTGCACTCATCCCTAACAATTAAAATCAAAGTAATAGATTAAAAATGAAAAGGAACACACGAAGAATGCAAGGATTATAATTCCAGAAAATGACTCTAGCGGCAAGTACCGAAAATGCAACAGTACCACTTTCTTTTCACCTGCCATTTTAAACGTGGTCTCTAATCCTTCTCGTACACATTTTTCTTATTGTAAAATAATTCATTTTTGACAGAAGAGACGCTCTAGAAGAAAGAAATCGTTTATATTCGGATTCATCTAAATTACCCCTTCACAAACCGTATATATATATATATAATAACCAAACACCCCTCCTTTCTCTTTTTAAATAATCATAGGCCACACACGGTGATTATTTAAACGTAACCCATTGTATATTGTATAAATGATAACGTGTTCTTTGAAGGAAAAAGAAACTTCCGGAACACGTATGTATCTATATATCTTTTTCGCGTCATTTTTCCCCTCTGACCTTTTACACGTTCACACATTAAGAAACATATATACACATACACGCATACACACATACACACTGAGTATTTCGATTGTATTTATAATACCGATCACGTAAGACGGTTGGAAAGAGCACCTCTCAGCTGTTTTCAATAACACTGCACTTGTTCCTTTCGTCGGGATTCATAAAAGGCTACGGACAGAAGGAGGACACACATCCCTTATATTTTTTTTTATTTTCACTTTAGCTCGTTTTCGGTTAGCTTCGTTCCATATCGTGCATGCAACGTTACTTTTCTTTTTGTTACGTTCCTAATTTCCCGTCTGTAATTATCAGAGATGTGCGGATCTTGTTGAGATGTCGAGAACTTGAACTTCGGGAATAGAAACTTAGACCAAAATCAGGCAAAGTCTCAAGCTAGCTCTTGTGACAGATTTAAATTGAATTTTACACCTCATTTTCATTTTCCAAATTTTTTTTAATGTTACTTTCCAGTGTAATTCAAAATTGATACGGTCAACATAAGTCGAAATATTATTGAATAATTTCGTAGGTTTGAGTTACAATTGACGTGACATTGGCCGTTTGATTTTTGTCGAGTCAATTCAAATCCTAAAATGTTCAACCGATCCCGAAGCTCGAGAAGCACCCGCACATGCCTATTGTAATTATATATATTTGTACACACGATGAAACTGCGTCACCGATTCTGTCTCCGAAAGACGCTCTTCTTTTTCTGCACGTTTCATCGTGGTCATTCTGTTCTTGTTCTTTTAATCCTTTCCTTCGTAAGTAGGATTTTTATTCGTTCAAGACGTATCCTTTGAGGAAGCAAACAAAACAGGGAGAGATGTTGAGGTTATAAAGAGAAGAGGCAGCATTTTGTTATTAGGATTATTTCCTCTGCGAAACAGCAACAAAAACATCAGCGTTTTCGAAGCAAAACGTTTCATCGAAATTGCTTCACGAGTTATGTGTATATATATATTAATAATTGTTCTTTGTCGAGACGTTCCCTCGATGATTGTACAAAATCTCGCCAAGTTTTTTAAATTTGACGCTCGTACGCGCGACACATTTTCTCCCCATTTGTGTTTGTAACAACATACACGTACACACACATGCAAACACAAACACACACCCAAATCCAGAGAAAGTAGTTCGTTGCGTGTTGCCAGATTCTCGTATGACCGACTAGGTAATGATAAGATCGAATTGTATTTTAACCGTGTACAATGTATAATATTTTGTTAACTTAGGTGTTAAATATGTAGAATTCTAAACGAACAAGAAAACGGGAACGGGACAAACAAAGAGAGGAACGAGAAAAGAAAAGAAAGAAAGGGACAACCGCAAAAGTAACTAAAGGTCCTCTGTCGCGCGCGATTTTGTACAAACAAACAAGCAAAAAAAAAGGAAAAAGGAGAGGAAGAACATATATATTATAGCAGATTTCTTTGTAAAATATTGTAAATAACGATTTATTAATGAAATTGACAAATTCTTAGGTAATCCTTTCTCTCTTTCTCTTTCTTTTTCTCGCGGGGACTACTTGCGGTTAGTAACGCAACCGATTTACAAGTAGGAAAAACTAAACAAACGTTTATAAGAGAAAAATGCGTGAAACGCAATGCTTATCGGGTTTCAAATAGAGGTGTGCGCTGATCGTTCCGAGTCTCGAGAAGGCGAATCTTGGGACAGGTCGTGAAATTTCGGACGTAATCGAATGAGATTTTAAACTGTATTTAAAAACGCGCAAGTCGAGAGGTAGATTAGAATCGAACCAAATTTCAGAATTCTGAACATCAAATTTTGTCCGATTCCGCTCGAAGTTTTCCGAACAGCCCTGGTCTCGAGGATTCGAGATCTTGCGTACCTCTAGTTTCAACTAACCTTTTTTACCTCGTTCTGACCCGATCGTTTGATTAATTCAAGCAGTACTCGTGGAGATACGATGATAACGTGCGCGACTAACGATTAATTTCCTCGCCCACACGAATTCGATCTCGAATTCACAGGAAATTGCTGAGAGGAGGCTGCTCGTTTTTTGTAGCCGTAAACACAGGGGGAAAAAAGGAAAGAATCGACAATGTATGATATAACACAAGGGAAGAAAAAGAGTGAAATTTCAATATAAATACAGACAGAGACATTCCAACCGCCACATTTTTTTGCACACGTCCCTGCCCCCTCAGTCGACAGGATATATATACTCGCTGTTAAAAACCGCGGATCACGTGGTTGTACCACGTTGTTTAACTGATATTTAAATAAATAAGGAACGGATGATAAGTGTTCCTTTCATCTCTGTAAATTGCGCGCATCATTTGTAAATTAAACGTCGGAATTAAACCATCCCCCTCATTTTTGTAATAGAAAGCATCGATATATCATCCCTGTCGAGTTTAGCAAGGTTTAAACAATGATATGGAAGTAATGATGATGAAAAAATACAAACTGAAGTCATGTAATAACAGAAGCGAAAATTGAACGCAAAATCTCATGTCTTTATCAGCTAAGGTTATTAATTATTATTATTATATTTTTATTATATTATTATATTATTCTTATTATTATTATGATTATTACTATTATTATTATTATTACTATAATTATCAATATTGTTTGATTAACGACCTTCCCTTTATTATTATTATTGCTATTTACTAATGATTGCTAGATTCACACTTCTATAAAAAATATATATATATATACATACACACGTGCGCGTATATATGTATATGTATATGCAAACACGAGTAAGGAGAAACATATTTAAGGCTTTATACACACGTAACACGCGGACACGTTTCCTTTCAAGCGTCGATTTTGGTCGTTCGATATAAAAGCGAAAGAAAGATGTAGTTTTGTTTTTCTTTTTATACTTCCATTTGAAAAATTGAACGCGAATCGTTTTCACGAAACATTGACCATCCGATTGCTGTCGTGTTATATGTATATATATATACATGTATGTACACATCTCTACTTAAGCTTCTGAGGAATGAAAAAAAATTCTTAAACGATTTTTGATTATAAATAGTGTAAATTTTTTATATAGCGCGAGAATGGAGAATATTACTGGTTGCGAGTGGCACCATGTATAAAATAAAAAAAAAAAGCGAAAAAATATGGAAAAATGGTATATTACACGTAACACGCGCACGTTCGTGTGCGAAACACACACACATACATACACACACACGTACACACGTATACATTGGTCTTTTGACTCTTTTTAAACTTGTACTTTTCCTTCGTCGTTCGCTTTTTTTTTCTGTTTCTGCATTACGGATTGTGCGAACCTCAGATCCGTCTGCGAAATTTAGAATCGTATAAAAATGGAAATGAATTAAAGCCGTGTACATCCTGTTCCTTGAGAGCGTGTACTCGTTGTAAAATATGTAAAAGTGCGAGTCGTGATTCAGTATTTTCTGTACACACGGTGGTTTTTTGGTATATCTTTTGTAAATTTCTGTGCGATTATAAATATATATAAATATATATATATCTGCGTGCGTACGATTCGTCGCCTGAGAAATGGAACAGTTTTTTTTTCTTTTTTTTTTGTTAATAAAGGATCCGAATTCGCGGAATTTGTAACGCCATATATGAACGGTATCGAACTTACTCTTGCCTGTGTAACACAAGAAGAGAGAGAGAGAGAAAGAGAGACACGACCGACTGGTTCATTCGTTTCTCTCGGGCAAAACACGAATACTTTTTGTTAACAAATATTGAAATTCGTTGAACATTCTCTCACGTCGAATTTATTGTCAAAGGGGCATCTTTGTATTATTAATATCCCTGTATATAATGAATTCGTTTTTTAAATGTACTATTTAAATTTGAAACACTAGTTTCTATAATTTCAATTGGAGAGATCATGAGTACATTGGCGAGCGATAGAAATATTTGTAACAAGTTTTGTGAACTGTTTGAGTTATAATTACCTTTGTGATTAATAGTTTTTGTGTTCATAAAATTATCATGTTCAGAATTCTTTAACAACTTAAGATTGACATCAATGTTCAGTTTGTGTAACCGACATCAATGTTTTTATGAAACTAGTGTTATAACAATGCTTTTCATGTTACTTTGCTGGTTACTAATCGCTTGACAATTATTTATGACCTAACATTCTGCCAATAACATTCATGAAATTTTATGATACATTTTGTTTTATATTTTATTAAAAACAAAAGTTGTACTTCAATGAATTGCATTTGCTTTTAATTAAAATTCCTGAGAATTGGAAGAACTTCAAATTGAAATGATGAAGTGATAAAATGGTGGATTCAGCGTATACAGAGATATAATGCAAATTAATTACGTTACTGTCACCCTTTAATCTTCGATATTTGTACCTTTTACAATAATCTTTTTCTCTCTATTTCGCCCCTATTTCTTCTCTCTTACCCCCGGACACACGTCACCGTCTCTTAAAGATTACTGGCGAACAATGTTAGGAAAGAAGAAAAAGAGATTATGGAAAGAGTCCTTGACGATGGGACGGGCGTAATTTGATTCGAAAGAAGAAAAACCGATTAAGCAACCCTATAAATAATTGATTATACATATATATACATATGAATATATATATATATATATATATTATATATATCTGTATATGTATACCTAAAAGAAAACTTTGAAAATTATCGGTATATGATATATGTAATAAGTACTATTTAAATATTGTAACAATTGTATATGATTTTAATACTACATGCTAATTGTATTATATATATATGAAAGATCTGCGACGACCTCCCACTTATGACACACTCGATCGTACATACATATATAAAATATACACACACAAACAGTACATACTGTATTCGCGAAGAAGTATCTACTAAAGTTCAAAATTTAAAACCGTGACAATTTGAAATTTGAACTCTTTAATCTTCAGTAGATGTACCAGGAAAAATTCTAAATAGCAGTAATATTTCTACGAGGGTTAAATAATGAAACTATGTAAACATAATATTAATAACGCGTTGATACAAACTTAACGAATACAGGCTCACACGAACACAGATACAAACGTGCGCACACAGGTTCAAAAACCACATTTTTCACCCCATTTGCTCATCGTCATCGCACCCACCGGTTTCAACTGCCATGGCGCTTAAATATACGTGTACGAGCAAGCTGTTGTAAATCGAACAGTGGAAAATCTTACAGAAAAACAGGAAATTTCGTTCCTTTCTTCGTTAGAAGAAGGACGAAGTGGACCGGGGAATGGTGCGCCCTGATATTAAGACTGATGTACAGTTGCGCGCTATTCTCATCGCAGAATGTAATCATCTTTCTTTTTTCAAACGTCATACTACACACATACAGATACACATACGTACACGAAATACAACCATGGACTCGCAGGACTAATTGAACATATATATATATTTATAAATATATACATAAATATATATATATCGTATATATTTGTCAGATATTGTATGTCATATATGTATGCGTACACTCGTTTGCCACGCTCACTGGTTCATACACTTGCACGCGATTTTTAACGTGTAAATTGTCGACGCTGTAATTTTCGAAACGGTGAAAGTATCTTCATGTAATGCAAAGGCGTTCTCTAGTCTTTTAAACTTCTCTCAAAAAGAAATTGAGGTGCATTGTTACTAATTGGAAATTGTCACATTCGATAAATATAAAAATTCCTAATATTCAAACGTAAAAATAATACAGATAGTACATTAAAAAATTATTAAAGAATATATGCAAATTTATTCTGAACTTGTAAGAATACCTGCGCGATTGGAAAAAATTTAACAATCTAAAAATTTCTTAGAAATAGAGAATTGAGGATTGATTATGAAATTGTGTGGTAACGACTATAGAGAAGAAAACTTTGAAAATTATCGGTATATGATATATGTAATAAGTACTATTTAAATATTGTAACAATTGTATATGATTTTAATACTACATGCTAATTGTATTATATATATATGAAAGATCTGCGACGACCTCCCACTTATGACACACTCGATCGTACATACATATATAAAATATACACACACAAACAGTACATACTGTATTCGCGAAGAAGTATCTACTAAAGTTCAAAATTTAAAACCGTGACAATTTGAAATTTGAACTCTTTAATCTTCAGTAGATGTACCAGGAAAAATTCTAAATAGCAGTAATATTTCTACGAGGGTTAAATAATGAAACTATGTAAACATAATATTAATAACGCGTTGATACAAACTTAACGAATACAGGCTCACACGAACACAGATACAAACGTGCGCACACAGGTTCAAAAACCACATTTTTCACCCCATTTGCTCATCGTCATCGCACCCACCGGTTTCAACTGCCATGGCGCTTAAATATACGTGTACGAGCAAGCTGTTGTAAATCGAACAGTGGAAAATCTTACAGAAAAACAGGAAATTTCGTTCCTTTCTTCGTTAGAAGAAGGACGAAGTGGACCGGGGAATGGTGCGCCCTGATATTAAGACTGATGTACAGTTGCGCGCTATTCTCATCGCAGAATGTAATCATCTTTCTTTTTTCAAACGTCATACTACACACATACAGATACACATACGTACACGAAATACAACCATGGACTCGCAGGACTAATTGAACATATATATATATTTATAAATATATACATAAATATATATATATCGTATATATTTGTCAGATATTGTATGTCATATATGTATGCGTACACTCGTTTGCCACGCTCACTGGTTCATACACTTGCACGCGATTTTTAACGTGTAAATTGTCGACGCTGTAATTTTCGAAACGGTGAAAGTATCTTCATGTAATGCAAAGGCGTTCTCTAGTCTTTTAAACTTCTCTCAAAAAGAAATTGAGGTGCATTGTTACTAATTGGAAATTGTCACATTCGATAAATATAAAAATTCCTAATATTCAAACGTAAAAATAATACAGATAGTACATTAAAAAATTATTAAAGAATATATGCAAATTTATTCTGAACTTGTAAGAATACCTGCGCGATTGGAAAAAATTTAACAATCTAAAAATTTCTTAGAAATAGAGAATTGAGGATTGATTATGAAATTGTGTGGTAACGACTATAGAGACGCCTTTGTCTTCTGAAATTTTAATAATAAAAATCATTTTTTACATTTCGTACATGCGCGAGCAACATGTACGAGCCGGTGACGCTTCTGGGACACACACGGTAGATGCAGAGGGACATAAAGAGCAAAGAAGAAATGTATTCCATATTAGCGGATAAAAAATACCTAGATAAGTGGGACGGACAGGCATACGGATTTCAAAGGAAAAAGGAAAAAAAAAACGAGATAAATTGCATAACTTGTATATTAGTGTATAGAACGTAGAAAAAACGACGAAATAGCCACGAGAAGAATCATTTTCGACGATGTTTTTTACACATGCAGGCAGAACAAAGTGAGAGGTAGATTAAAAGAAACAAACAAAAATGAACAAAAAAAAAAATAAATAAAATACTTCGTTGTAACCCGGAGGCAAAAAAGTAACCGAGAATCAGCATGTTTATACGAAGAATTTGCATTAGCGACTAAAAAAAAAGAGCCACCATAAACCGCCACCTTCTAAAGAAAACAAAACGACAAAAAAATAATAAGAAATATGTAATACACTTACATCCGTTGGTAAAAGAGCGTAGATTTTTTTAAATAGTCACAGATCGATGGTAGCCGACGTACTCGAATTTTTCGTAAAGTTCCGAAGAAAAAGGGAAACACGATTTTTACGAAGCACACATTTTCTCCGTGTATAACAATTTTTTTCTTGTGCTTCCTTGTTTTCGTTCTCGATTATATTACAACATACAAAACATACACAATACATGCGTGTTCATATATTTTTCTTTAATTTTTTATTAATTATATCGTTCTTCATTTCGATTTATGGTGGTAGCGGTTGAAAAGATTGCCCAGGTCCAAAGAGTTTTGTTTTTGCGGCTTTTTCATTTACGTTTCAATGTTCTGTCGAATCCATGCATAAGAAAAAACTAAAAAGCGTTTCCGCCGATATTATATGTATTGTAAAACTATTTCCAGGAACGGTAACACGTCGTTACGGTATTATTATATATAAATATATACATATTATATATATATATTAGCGTCTTTGTCGATTGTATTTCATATTTTCTAGAAAGTTAAATAAAAAAAGGATTTTCGAATCTGAATATAATGTGAAAAGAAGATGTCGTGATAACTTATTACAATAAAATGAATTTAAAAAGAAAAGAAAAACAGAAGAATAATAATAAAATATTGACAAGAATATTGCACGTTCCTGTTCATCTTTTTGCAAGCTTTGCTCTTTGGATCCAACGCATTCTTATAATTTTGTTCTTCTTTCAAGTCTTCTAACTTTTGTTTCTTTTTTTGCCTATATTGTTCTCCTGTTTGTGGTCGAGCTTAGTTCCCTTTAGTTCCAATGCTTTATCTTTTTTTTTATCGAAAAAAGTATTGTTAATTCTGTTCAGTTTTTGAATAGATGTCAGATCTCTGAATCGTAGTAGATGAGATTATAAGTATGCTTTTCATTGCTTTACTTTTTGTTTTTATACGCAATACGTACCTTTATAGGTGTGCGAATCTCGAGTCTCCAGATCTTGAACTTCAGATTGGTTCGATTACAAACAGAACATTAATAAAAAACAGTAAGTAGTATTTTTGTTTGGTAAATAAATACCTTGGTTATTAATACGTTTGATCCTAAAGCAACAAGTACAATTTCACCTTTGAGGTCAAAGAAACCATTTTCAAGTCTACATCTTTGTCTATGTTAAATGATTGTCTTCAACCCATGTATCCTCCAATTGAGTTATACTTGAATTTTACTGAAATAGTTCACATAGTTCAAATGCACCCTAATAGCATACGTATATCGAAAGATAAATTTGAATTTTAAGATTCAAAAAGCTCAGGATTTCGTACACCCTACATACCTACCTTACATATTGTCAGTTATGGCAACCGGAAAAATTTTACGCGTATTACAAAGTCTTGTTTTAATATATAAATTTAAACTATAAAATTTGCAATTGAAATTCTAAATTATTCTAAGAGAAGAAAAACGTAGTAAACCGTACCGGTAGTTTGTCTTGACTATTAGCATTTTACTCATTAGTAGGCATACCTGATGCATCAAATACACGTAACATCTTTCTGTATACACGTAATACATACACTCATAACACATACACACTCGAGTAAAAAGGATAATGAATTAACGGTATTCTAAATGTAACATATATATGATGGCTGTACAAATGTAACATTTTTTTCCATTACGTATGATGATATTAAATGATAGTGAAAATGGGAGGATTTGATGCAAAAAAAAGACTTGTGGTATAATTGAATTAAAGACAACAACACGTGTGCGCATCGATCGATGCGAGTCCCGATTCTGTAAAACGGCACGAGCATCGATCAACTGACTCACTCATGAGTGATTTACCAATAAACTATTATTACTTTTAATTATTATAAAATACCATTTCTGTAATAACATTATGATATAAAACCATACATTGAATGGCAAATTTCGATGAATTTCATGTCCCGTGCCTATATCTTAATTATAGGCATATACCTAACATTAGTATTAAATAGCAATGAAATTTCCGTATCGTTAAAGAGTTTATTGTTTACTGTTTATAATTCATTCCTTGGCTAGAAAATGCAGATTTCATATGAACAAATATCGAAGAAAATCATGCGATAATCTCATCGAGTAACTTGTTACAGATACTCCTTGTTAACTGCACAATTACTGGTACCAACATACATTCTTGATGGTAACATATGAAAAATGACATCGATAAAAGATTCGGCATTTTAAACTTAAATGTGCCAATATGGCAACAGGCATTTGTAAAATGATTCCTTAATTTTATTCGCTTTCTTCTTTAGAACGTTCTCTCTCGGAGCGTCTAGATTTCTTCTTACGTCGACTGGGACTTCTAGACCTGGATTTGTGTCTACGGGACCGTGATCTCGATCGATGTCGATGTCTGAAAAAATATCAATGTTGTTAATCGAAACACTGATGGTGTTTAGCTAGATCAAACAGGACCAAATGGTGGCTCACGAATATTTGGATAACCACCATCCTCACCCCCCATTTCATCCTTGATTCTGAATTTGAATTTAGTTTATTACCGGTCTTTGTGTCGATACTGAGATCGGGACCTATCACGATCTCTTTCTTCGTCCCTCGACATGGAATCCCTTTCCCTCTCCCGTTCCCTAATCATGGAATCCTTTTCCCTTTCACGATCGCGCTCTCTATCTTTATCTCTTTCTCTTTCTCTTCCCATTGAATCCATTTCTCTGTCGCGATCTCGTTCTCTTTCTCTGTCTCTTTCGCGATCCCGAGAGTCTCTCGGTGGTATTAACGGCGGAATATTTGTGGGAGGTACCATGGTTGGTATCGTTTTTGGACCAGTGTCTTTGTCATCCTCCCCTTCTGTCATTGGAATAGCTAAATTCGTCGGTTGCCACGTCTAAGATGGAAATGATTGATTAATTGTTGTCATTAACAAGCAGAGGAGATAAATAAGACTGTTTCATACACACCGGATCATTACCCCATTGATTATCTTGTGTAGGTTCATAGCTTTGATAGTATGGATCTGTTTCTGGCATGTAAAAGGGAGCAGGTTCTCCAGGATACCCAGGAGGTGGCATATCAAATGCAGGAGGCATTCCTGCTCCTGGAGGGGGTACACTCATATCTGGGAAACCTGGTTTCCTAGAATATTCCCGTCTGTCTGCGGTCATCACTTGTATCACATTCCCTTTAGGTGGGGATTTGTCAAGATTCCTTCTAGAGGCTAAACCTGAGCTACCAATTACATCTATTGTTCCTGCCATTTTTCTTCCTGGAGGTGGTCCTGCTCTCTTTGGTCCCATTATACCAGAATATTTGCTATTATCATTGGTAATCGCCACTTGCGGTACCCGCATACTGCCTGCATTACCACCCCCTCCTCCTGCATTCAATATTAAACCTACTCCTGATTCGCTTCTCATTCTTTTTTGTCTCTCACAGTAAGCTCTCCATGTTTCCTCATTGAAACCATAATTAAAATAATCAGTAATGTCTGCACCAGGCTGTCTCCATGGTTTATCTTCTAGTTGATCTAAGTTGAACTCATGTGCAGGCATACCATTAATTACACCTATTGTTTCGAATTCATCTATACTAAACTTTCCAGGTTGCTTATTCAATTTATCTGGTACACCCGATGCATTCGTAAGCAATCCTCCTCTCTTGATATTAAGACTACCATAAGCAGGAGTTGATTTAATATCACCAATGACAACGTGTACATCGTCATCGGAATCGGAGTCGCTGGCAGCTTCACCATCTTCTTGACTGGAAACTTCTCTCATACCATTTTTATTTATCTCTGTACTATTCTCATTTTGAATATTATTTGTCGAGGAAGGTTCTTCTTCCGGTGGCTCAGCCTCCTCGGCTGTCTATAGAAATAAAATCATTTTAAAGTCGTTTACAGGGGAATTAGGTTATGTGCATCATATAGAGATACAGTGTTTAATGTGATAAAATGTTCGCATTTTGAATTCTCAGATTTGTGTTGATCATAAGTACGAGTAGACCGAATTATCTGTACATTGCAATTATTTTCTTTTATTCTACTTTAATGAAACTCAATAATAATAACCGGATGAACAGGTTAGAGAAGTCTACCTCCATTGGGGGCTCCGGTGTACTTTCTGGTTTCTGATCTTCTGAAATTTGTGATTTTTCTGGTACAGAAACGGGGATAGAATCATTTTCCTGGTTTTCTGGTTGAACGGACGTCGGTGTATATTCTTTTCCGTCCGTTGAATCACCGTACAACCATTGATCCTCGTTCTCGTCCGCCATTTCTCCACTTCCCTCGCTTGACAACTAACCACGCATCCAATGCACGCGTATCAACGATCAAAATACGAATGCTTCATTGTACAGGTTCGCCAACATTTTCTAAGTATAATTACTATTATTCGTTCAATGAGTAATAATTTTCAGCTCGTTCGCGCACTATATTCAAAGAGGTAGTACTTACCTTTGCTATATTCTTGTATCCCTATGGCGGTAGCATAACAAACTCTAAGTGTTTTGTTGAACAAATTTGTGGTTAAGATGGCTGCAGAAAGTGGTGTAAGTTTAATGTTAATTAAAAACCCGTATAAAATTTGTGTTTAATAAAATATTTTTTATATCAATCCCAGTGATATTTTAATTTATCTTCAGTTCACAAGTGAACTAAACACGACCGCTATATCGTGCCACGTATGGTGCAATATGTATTTTAACAATTCTGTATTACTTAAACGTTATACATATAATAATATCTTTTTTTATGCTGTTTTGGAATAATTAACATACTCTTCTTTTTATAGAAATATCTAAATTAAGTTTTTACGTTTACCGGTATGAGACGATAGACGCTGATTCCTTCAGTGTTCTATCATGATAACTAATTATTGCTTCTTTTTAGGTAATAAAAGTTAATAAATGGGATGGTGGAGCAGTGAAAAATGCATTGGATGATGCAGTGAAAGATGTACTTACAAAAAAGTATAATTACGTAGAAAACTTTGCTTTATTTGATGGAAAGTTAGCTCTTTGTGGAATTGCTGTGATAATTGCTATTGTTGCTATTTTATGTGACTATCTTTATCCTTTCCCCGCATCTAAACCAGTTTTAATTGCCTGTGTTTCATTGTATTTCTTCTTAATGGGACTTTTAACACTGTATACAACATATAAAGAAAAGGGTATATTTGTAGTTGCAATTAAAAGGTAAACTATAAGACATTACATATTATTAACAACTTGTAAGTTCTACAATTATTTATTAAGTCGTACTGTTTCACATTTTTAGAGATCCAGCAGGTTTCAAGCCTGATTTAATTTGGAAAGCAAGTTCATACTTGAAAAAACATGATGACAAATATAATCTTATATTGTCTGTCAGAAGCAAAGCCACAGGATTCTCTTCTATTACGAGATCTGTTGCAGATTTTATTGATGTAAATGGTGTTGTCATTCCAGAGTTAATAGAAAATCTTGTAACAAGTATGCATGATAGTTTGACTGGTCAACGCAAGGAGAAGTAGCAGGGGCAAAACAAATACGTTCAAATGTGAGCATTACTTTTTTATAACATCCAGTAAAAGATTAATTGGTTTTTATATTTTACATATTTGGCACAAATATGTGGTGAAAATAAGAATCCAGTAATTTAAAATGATGTATGTATTGTAATTTATGTTTAAATACAATAAAAAACAAATATAAACTTTTACATAGCTGTTAATAGAATAAAAATTTTCTTTATCCACTTACATTACTAGTGAATTATTTACATAACTATATAGTTTTATTTGACAATTTTTTCTTTCAACAATCATGGGAACTGAATGTATGATAATTATTGAAGTGTGATATATATGTGTATGATTAACAATCAGAAAATAAAAAAAATAGTGATATGTGCATACTAATCATACATAAATATTATGAATCACCAATGAAAAATAAAAGTTAACATTTTTCTAAACAGGTACATTTACAAAAAATGTGCCATCATCATACAGAATGAAATATTCTTTGTTTAATATGATAAACATACACGTTTAGAAAAGTAATTTGTAAAAATAATTAATGTACATAATTCATTTTGAAAAAAAAAAAAAAAAAGTGAAGGAAAATAACCATCTCCAAACTGATGATAATCTATGTATAAATAATTTATATTTTACATTAACCATGCGTGGTGTCATCTTCCACAAAATCTGCAGCTTCTTCTCGTGTTACACATACAACATGGGAAACTTTGTTCCTGAATTTGACACCATAAAATTTGTTCGCGTGTTGTAATAATTCTGGTCTGTAACATAATCAATTATGAATAATATACAGATACAAAAGGTTTTGTTATAAACATTAGAAAATTACCTGAAAGTTGTTGTGATAAATTGAGCATCAGAACTAAGTTCATGAATCATATCTGCAACAGCTTTTCTGTGTTGCGCGTCTAAAGCTTGATCAATTTCATCAAACAAGTAGAATGGAGCTGGATCACACTTTTGTATTGCAAATATTAATGCCAATGCTACAAGTGATTTTTGTCCACCGGACAATTGATTCATTTCCCTCATTTCAGCTCTGTGTCCGGTGAAAGAAACACGTATACCTAAATAGAATTTAAAAAATTATTTTGTATTTTTTCAGTTTATTATAATGAAAATGAACAAGTAAAGTCACATACCAACTCCAATGAATCTGTCAGAATCAGCTGCTTCTGTCGTAGTATCATCCCCTTCATCACCATCTGCTGTTTTCATCACTAATTGGGCATGGCCCGATGGGACGAGTTTCTTGAAAACTTCGCTAAAGTATTTGCTTACCTAAAAATAAAATATATATATTGTTTCATGTATAATTACAACTAAATCAGAATTAGAGTAATATCACATTACTTGTTTGAAAGTGAATTGAATTGCTTCACATTTGCGTTGTTCAAGTACTGACATCAATTCTTTAATTTTCTCATCACCTCTATCTAATTCTTCCTTTCTTTTCACCAGTTTTTCTTTCTGATCACTAAACGACATAAACTGATCCAATGCTTTTTTATTTACATGACTAGAATGAAATTTAATTATTGCTCAAAAGTTTCATTTTTATATTCAGTAATACATTGTACGTGTATAGGTATACCTATATTTTTTTAAATGATTGTTTGCCTTTTCCATCTCTTTAAATAACTGTTTGGTAGACATAGTACTAAATTTAGAATATACTTCATGACTAGGCAGTGCACCGAGTTCAGTAATTTTATGTGTACATTCTATTATTTTTTGTTGTAATATGTTCAATTTACTGGCTAGTTTTTCTAAATCTTTAGCATCAGCCTCTATTTTTTCTTGTGCCTCCTTCTCCTTTATTTTCCATTTCTCAACCTCTGAAGATTCAGCTTTTTGCTACAAAAAGTAATAAATTTAGGTAGGGTAGATTTTTGTTACATTTTCAAATTTAAGAATTTAGAATCCATACCTTTTTTATAGCATTAGTAACCCTTTCGTTCTGAGCTTTAAAGTCTGCATTCACTTTCACTAATCTCTTTTCAATATCCGCTAATTGTGCTTTTGATGATTCTAATTGACGTTGCCGATCTTCCACTGATATCTCCTGTAACGCTTGAACCAATTCGTCTTTCCTTCTTACTAAATTGTTGGTTAATAAGTTTTCTAATTTATTTTTTTCAGCTTCTAACCGCATACGTTTAGCAAACGCCTCTTTGTTATCTTTCGTTAAACGTCTGATATCATCATTCAATGTATCGACCTAAAACAATATTAATAATCAGAAAATAATTACAAAGATTTATTGATTTTACAAGTTTAGATTACCTGTCGTTGATCAGCAACAGATAATTGTGCCATGAGTTCTTGATGTAATTCGCTTTCCAAACCTTCTTTTGTTGCTCGCATTGCTTCCAAACTCGACGTACATTGAGCCAGACTTCTTTCTTTCGGTGTTCGATATCGTTCTATTGCGCTCAATTCTTCTTTCATGAGTCGTATTTCTGCCTTCATCTTATCATATACATCTCTGCAGCATTACAATCAATCAAATATCTTAGAACATTGTAATAAAATTATATAAAATCGATTAAAGGTAACTTACTTTGCCTTACTATTTTTTGTTTCGGTTCTTTGCATTTCGCTGACATAAGAACTGATATTTTGATCCGCTTTTCTAATCTCTTCTTTAAGAGTTGAGAACTGAGATTCAAGAGACGCAATCTGTGCCATCAACTCGGATCTAGTTTTTTGTATTTCGAGACGCGATCTTAACGTATTAAAATATCCACCTGTTAAAGATCCTTTCGATGATACCTGATCACCTTCTAGTGTTACACAATCTAAACCAGAAGTACGGGCTAAATTTGTTGCAGCTTCTAAATTACGGCAGATCAATGTTTTTCCAAAAATATACCTATAGTTACAATTATATATTAGAATTAATCTATACAACCCGCAAAAAGAAATTTTGAATTATCCTTACCTTAAGGCTTTATCGTACTTCTGGTCATAATTTAATTGTGATATCATAGGTATGGCATCGCTTGTTTCGGGATAATCTATATCTTTCACGTGAAGTCGATTCAAAGGCATAAATGTTACTTCCCCCGGAAGTCGTTGATTGTTCATTTCTTTTAAAATTTTTGTTCCAAATTTATCTGTTTCCACAATATGATGAAACAAACGATTTCCAGCAGTCACTTCTACAGCCATATAAACACTCTTGTCGCAACTAAAGTTTTCAATTACGGGCCCATAATAACTACTCACCTCATGGGCCATATCTTTGCGCCCTCTAAAAAAGAAAAAATAGTATATGTACAATAGTAATGGTTCCTGGAAAGAATAGTGCATACGTACCGAAACGTATCCAATACTTTTCGTACACTATCACGACCATTTAGAATAGGTTTCCCTGCCATTGAACGTAAACTCTGATCTGCTTTGGCTAAATCTTCTTTCAATCCTGATAAGTTTAATTGTAACACGCTTTCTTGACGATATCTGTAATGTTAAATATTTAGGAGATATGTTATTAAATTCTTTTCAATGTATAAGATACAATGAACTCACTGTTCTTTTCGAGTTGCTTGACACTGGTCCTTCGCTTTAGTGAGTTCGTAATACTGTTTATTATGTTCATCAATGGAAGCTCGTTGCTGCTCCATTTCCCGCGTATGTTCTTCTATCTTTTTCTCTAAAGTAATTTGCTTTTCCGCATCCCTCTTCAAATCTTCACTGATTTTCCTTTGATGTTCCTCCTTATCTTTAATTTGTTTAGTGAGTTGTTTGAGCTCATTCTGTATCCATTTGTCTCTCTCATCCTAACACAACAAAATAGTTATAGAATTTTTCTTATATTTGAACTAATATTTAATTAATTTATGTTAAATACCCTGCTAGTAAATTGGCTGCCTCGTCCCTGCTTCGCATATAATTCTTTTCTTTTCTGCTCTTTTAAATGTAACTCGCGTGTGCATTCCTCTTCAACACGCTTCATTTCTTCATACTAAAAGAAATTTTTATTCATGCATTTCTTTATTTGTATTTGAAGAATATAAATTTATATCTTACTTCTGGCTTGAGTTCTTCTAATTCTGCTTCTCTTGCTGCAATATTCACTTTTAACTTCTCCAATTCCTGTTGAGCGCGTTTTCTACTATCATTGTCACCTTTCACTTCTTCAAGTAAATCATTAATTGTTAGAGTCAATTTAGTTTTCTCTTTCAGTAATTGCTGCTGTTCAGCACTGGAAATGTTATGTTTAATTTATAGTTGACAAATAATTTTATAAAACATTGTCTGTATATATTACCTGAGCGTGTCTCGTTCTTCTTTAGCAGTTTGCACTTCTTTCTTTGCCTCTTTCAGGCGTTTTGTTGCAGCCCGTACCATTTCCTGTGCAGTTTTTGCTTCTGCACATAATCTTGCTTGTTCTGCACCACTATTAGCTCTAGATTTTTCAAGCTCTTCTAATTTCCTTTTATTCTCTTTAAGCTCTCGTTCATGAATCGTATATTCTAAGCAACGACGCTGTTTATCCCAACATTGATACTCTTTGAGTTCTTCTTTTTCTTCTTCTAATGTCTTTAAACGTTCCTCTATTGTTCTCAAAAAATCTTGGATTTTTTCTAATTTTCCTTCTGTTTCTTTCAAAATAAATTTTGATTCTTCCCGTCTGTCATCATATACTCTAGTACCAGCTACTTCTCTTAATAATTTAAGTCTTTGTGAATCAGGTGCTGTTGCCATTTGATTTATCTGGATAAAAAAACATATTATGACTACTGTTCTTAATTGCTATAAATTTATTATGAAACATACCTTTCCCTGTTTTACTATATAATATGGATTTGATCTTGAAAATCCTGCTGATTCTAACAAGTTCATCACATCATTCCTAGTTACAATCCTTTTATTAAGAAAATATTGGTCCTTTTTTGATCCAATTACTCTTCTTAGGTAAACTTCTTCTTTGTCAATCTAAACATGGTCAATTTATAATAATAAGTCAAAAGACAAATGTAATGTAATAAAATATATAAAAATAAATATGGATATACCGGTAATCGTCCATCAGAATTATCGAATATAATCTCCACATGGGCAGAAATAACTCTTGGTCCAGTACCTTCATGTAATAAAGCTTGTCGCTGCTCAGGTCGTAAATGTGAAAATTCATCGCTCAACACAAACTGGATTGCATAAAAGAAGTTACTTTTTCCAGAACCATTTCTTCCAACTTAAAACAAAAACACCATATATATTATCTCCGTTGAGAAAACTTTCTACGTCAATCTGAATGAAACATACCCACTACATTATGCCTTGGATCAAATGGTTCTACCACTGTTTGTTCACGGTATGACTTAAACCCTTGTATAATCACCTGGTCACAAATAATGTATCACATGAAATGTACTGCTGTTCTACTTTAGAATGTTATATCTTTTTAAGACAAAATTTAAGTATCACAAAATAAAAATATAAATTCTCCTATACTGAAGGTATGGTTACTATATACTTCTACTATTGATGTTACAATAATGTTTGTGATGGTTTATGCTGTTTGTGTCTAACCATATAAACATGTAACATCATATGTCCACGACACTGCATTAGTTATAAAATTATACATAAAGGTTAAATAAAAACATGATATTCGATGTAATCTTTATACAAACTTAAACTAAATAACAATATTTACTATAAATGGTACGCATTTATTAGAAAGGGAAATTGTACGAAGCGCGCAAAAGGAAATAGGAACCCGGAAGACAACCTCATCTTTTTTCATACCTGCTTAATATACATGGTGCAATTAAAAATTACACGAGTGTTTCTCGTGTAAACACTTTACGGTAACTCAATCAGAAACGTAACTTCTCTGTCACTGAACGGAACAAAAACATTCAACCGACTTGTTGGCACAGCGACATTTGTAAATTCGCAAGATGACAGTAACAAAAAGTTCCTAGATTTGGGCGGGAGATGTGTATTTATAGCCACTACATACGCAAAAAAGTACTATATTTTTGAACTCGATTATTTCAATTCGTTCGAATTCGGTACGTCTCAAGTACTCTCATTGAAACTACAGATGTAAGGATAATGATAAATAACAAGTATGTACTTATTTCAATGATGATTTATTTAAAAATGATAATGTAAAATTTAATTCCTAATAAATTCTTAAGACTACATGTAATTCAGTGGTGAATACTCAATGCATCACTTTGAACTTCATGACTTAATTGTGTTTGCAGATTAGACAGTTTATTTTTCAAAGCTGCAATGCCCATCATTACAATATTTTCAGGTTTTAATGCTCCACTACTTTCAACATTAAAGTAATATTTATTTGGTTTAGCTTCCCAATTAAATGGTGCTTCATCTGGAACATTTAGAAATCCATTGAGTAAATATGTAACAATTAAATTCTTGAATAAGATAACACTTACATTGATCTTCTTCTAATTCACTGTACTCTGATTTTGGCCATTCATCTGGTTTTGGAAATAATGTGTGTCTCATTGAATTGTCTGGATCATACTCGAAGCTTACACCAGCTGTTGGATTCCATTTTGCATGTTCTTTTCCAAAACCTTTCTTGGCATATGCTCTTAATTTTAATTCCTGTCCTTTCCTCAATTTTACTATCAGTATTTCTATAAACCAAAAGTTCATTTATTTTGTTGAAACATTAATAAACACATTATTTAGAGAAATATCTACCATCTGTTTCTCCGTATTCACTGGCATCATCTTCCCTGTGTCTAGATGTAACAGGTAACACTCTTGGATCACTGGATTTGAAATCTGCAGTAGTTACATGCCTTGTTTGATCTTCTGTACACTTTACATCCAGCGTGAACTCCACACTACATTCCGGGCAAAAATCCATACATTGGCAATCTCTGGTATATTGTATCCTATCAACAACCTAATGATTTTAATATAAACTTTAAACTTTTCTTGTACTTGATGTACATTAGATAACTGATTTTTAGATATTTACATCGTCACTTATTAATGGTATCATTCCAATTCTATGTGCTAAAAATTCGTCACTCAAAACAGTTGAATTTGCTTCCAGTTGTATCCAATCAATAGCCATGGTAGGTGTTTCCGCAATAAAAACGCGTCTCATACTGTTTGCAACGCTACAAATATCAGGAAATTTAATAATGTAGAATAAAAAAGACATTGATCATGACATAACCTAGTTTACCTTAATTCTGTATCTTCAACTTGAAATTTTACATTTTCTTCAGTGAGATCTGAGATGTGTACTGACGGTTGATTCGCGTACGGCATTTTATTAAAATTCTAATACTTAAAAACTGGAAAAGATGTATTTAATACTAAATTTGTCACTGTTTTTATTGACATGAGATGATGCTTTTGACCAGTGTGGGGTAGTCGTGAGATTTTATCTCACGCGAGAGCTTTATGCGCATGCGTCAGCTGAGGATAAATACAGTTCCAGCGATGGTGGTAGTCGTAATATGCGTGATAATATTGATAATAATAAGAATAATAGGGATAATAATGATAAAAGTAGTAATATGCGTGATAATATTGATAATAATAAGAATAATAGGGATAATGATAATAAAAGTGATAAAATGGGTGATAATATTGATAATAATAACAGTAGTAAGGATAAATACAGTTCCAGCGATGATGGTTGTCGTAATATGCGTGATAATATTGATAATAATAAGAATAATAGGGATAAT